GGCAAAATAGCCATGTGGCGGCCAAAAGCCGTATGTATATTCCCTTCTTGTTCTCCAGCCTGTTCATGCATTCTTTCCAAAAATTGGGACTTTTAAAAAACGCCATGGGACATGGGACAAATTGTTGAAAAGCGGGACTGGCCTGCCAAAATCGGTACGTCTGGTCACCCTACATATAGGGGAAGATGATAAGTGTCGTTTTACTGTTGGTATTAACATTTCATATTCTTCTTGTTCGGTATGTCTTTGTACTGGAGAATTATTCAGAAGTGAGTTTACTTTGTCTCTTACAAACTCTTGATTCTTTATGCAAAACTCTTGAGACTTGGTGTGTTGTAGAATTCAGACTTTTAAAGGACTGGTAGATGATACATATGCACAGTACAAACAGTAAAGCTTAAAAGCAGGTACCTTAAAAAAAAATCAGGTACCTTAAAACCTGTGTGATAAACCTAAGACTATTCACACTGAATACACAAAAGACTAATTAATGCCTGTGTGTTTTTTCTGTTCCGTTCTGAGATTTCAGAATTATAGTTGTTTGTCTTTTGAGTCTCGCTCTGTCACCTAAGCTAGGGTGCAGTGGTGTCACCTTAACCTCAAACTCCTGGGCTCAAGCAGTCCTGCTTCAGCCTCCTGTGTAGCTAAAACTACAGGTACATTTCATCACATCTGACTAATTTTTAAATTTTTTGTAGAGATGAGTCCTGCTGTGTTAGCCAGGCTGATAGGAACACTTGGCCTCAAGTGATCCTCTATCTTGGCCTCCCAGAGTGCTGGCGGATTACAGGTGTGGGCCTCTGCATTTCACCTCAGAATTGTAGATAAATAATGGGGTACCTGGATCGCCTTTCTTGCTTGTGGATATGTTGTTATAGAAAAAAAAGTCATAACAAGTGTGCCTCTGATTGATTTGAAATCTGCAAAAGGATTCGTTTTCTAGATTTTGAAAAGTATGAAATAACAATACCATACTCATACAAATAGTAGTATGTAGTACTTGAAACTACGATGTACTAGGTTATTTGCATACAAAGAGGTTAATCACAATATTTAATGACTAAATTAACAACTTTAGAACCAAAACACATTTAGTTGATTTTATCAAGATCCTTAAAAAGGGCTCGGTGCCTGTGGCTCAAGTGGCTAAGGTGCCAGCCACATACACCCAAGGTGGCGGGTTTGAATCC